CACACACACACAGCGCAGACAGGCACACACACACAGCGCAGACAGGCACACAACAGGGTTGGATCTAGAGAAATATTCATGGGGTGGTCAGAGGGTGGCATGGAGAAATATATGCTGATTTAATCACAAACAATCATATATGTCAACATTTGCTTGGAAAAGCCTCCAAATGAAGATATTTGAATTAAAAAACATTACATTATTGTGGCACATTAGCAAAGCATTGAATACAAATACCTAAAGGTGGCATTAGAAATCAATAAATTGTTCAAATTAATGTTTAAAATTCTCTAGGTCCCTGACACACACACAGGCATACACATCAAAATACCTTTGAGGCCAATTCCAAGTCCTACATTAACCTACAGTAGCTGGTGGTGTCTTAAAAGGCTTTTTTTTTGTTGTTTCAATAAACTGCACAAAGATCATGAATCATTTTTTGGCTAATTACACCTCACAAATAAAAGTAAATGTGGTGCACATCTTGGTGGGACAGAAAAGCCTCTGAAACAGCTGTCGGACCATCTGACACAAGAACTCCCCAATGAGATCACTACTGATGCATTTTCAATTTAAAAAACAAAAAAAAACACTCTTTGTCTCTCAAGAAGCTCACAGGTGAATATCAACACTTTGATGCCCTCTAGTGGTCGATAGTGACATTACATTATGTCCAAAGAGATGGACAATAGTCAAATTTGATAGGAGCAAGACTTAGATGTCATTATCATCTCCAACAATCAGCTAAGACTGTGTGTGTGTGTGTACCTGATCATGAAGTCATGTAGTTCTCTATCAACTTGCTCCAATATAGGCATCAGGTAGTTTAAAATGTGTTTAGTGCTGTCCATGGTAGGATCCATGAAATCCCTACAGACAGAGAAGACAAACATAAAATATGTAAATATTACTGCTTAATAATTTGGAATATGGTTGATTAATTGGGTTCACTGTCAAACATCTTGATAAATTGATCTTTTTTTAGAGAATAATACACAACCTGAGATGGTAATTGGACAGTGTGTCCAGCATGGCGATGGCCATCTGCTCTCCCACTACCAGCAGCAGAGAGACGGCCACATCGTGGTAGCCCTGGTAGTAATGGAGCTGAGGGTTGTGTTTCAAAACCGCCAGAATGATATCAATCAGCTGCTCCTGGAGCACGGCTCTCTCTGTGGATGGCATACCTGAGGGAGAGCCAAGGATCAGCACATTCAACCACATGCAATCTTGTTAGACGTGGAGAGAGCAGTTGGTTCTCTCGGAGGCTTTGATAAAGGCCTCAGCAGCTAACGGGTCACGGTCGGGACGTTAATGGAAACACACCATGTAACTTAGCAATTAGAGCTAATTAGAGCTGTTGTTTACGTCATTCATGCTCTGTATTCACCCAAAATGCCAATTTCTGATTGTCTTCATTCTAACTTTTCTTGCATCTTTTAACAGTAAACAGACTTTAAATCATGTATTCGTGGAGCAACAGAACACTAAAAGTCCAACATCCTTCATTTCCTGCCTTTCTTTCAGTTAGTTTTTCCTAATTGACAGCCTCTCAGTTAGACACTTTTCTTCTTTGCTTTCTGAACTTTGTGATTTTGGCTGACAACAGAGGTTTCTTGTGACATAGGAATCTTTTCTGGTGCAGCTTTTTTCCCATTTCATTAATGATTAAGCCTTAGATATCTGCGTGTTGCTGTAAGTATGGGGGTATAGGTTGATACATGGCACTGTGAACTATGCTGCTATCTTCAGAGATAACACACACTCAGACCTTTCGGGAACCGCTTCATGGACCTCCTGACATCCAGGACTACCTGGTTGTAGTCCTTGTGGTTATCCCTCACATCTCGACCTACAACGAAGACATGTTATTAGTGCTAGCAGTAGTATTATATAGTATACATACAACCAGAGAATATCAGTATCAATCAGCCACTAACCAGGTTTATGTGGCAGCTCGTACACATTGATGTTCAGTAGTTTGGGCCACACTTTCCTCCTCAGTTCATCAGTGAGCAGTCCTCCTTTACTGGCTGCTGCTCTCCTCAGGGTCTCAATGTCCACTGGATCACTGCACATTCAACAGCCAGAGTTGGACACAATTTGTTCTGTACGATGCACTACTTTAAAGCCTGCTCACACAGCAAAAACTTCAGCTAATGGCTCTGAGCATTATTAACTGCCTATGTTACAAATGAACTTACTTCAGGAAAAAGGTGTAATTTTCTTGATTCTCATGCAGTAATGTTACATATTTGTATAAGAATCAACTTCTTAAAACCAGGATATGACAGTAAATTAGTGTTGATGCAGCACAGAGCTGGCTTAAGACTTGGCTGTTATAAAGATTCTTCTAATAAGACAGGATTTATATGTGGATTATCGACATTCAAGATTTTAAAATTAACTAAATATGACAGACAAATATGACAATCTGAGTCCACTAAATCAGACTTTGAGTCCACACTTGTGAAAGCCAACATCCATTCATTTGTCAACTGTCATATTCGCTCCACGTCTGTCTAACACTGCGGCAGCATGATGTGCGTCTACATGTCTAAATTGAACAGACAAACCGTTGTTTGTGAGGAATTCACAAAATCAACCCGCTCAATTGTGCATGAGCTTTTCTGTGCCATTTACCCATCATCATCAGTCCCACATGCCTCCTGACACTAAAGCCTTCACGATCCTCGTCACGCTATTCCTCTGGGAACACGTGAGTAATCTTCATGTGTGAAATTAGCTTAGTACGAAGCGATGAAGGTCACTCTCTGTGGATAAATGCATACCTTCTAATTGTGGAACAGCGAGCGGCCGAGGAAGAGGGGCCATTCCCACTTGGGAAAACACATCCTGCGGCCACTGCGCTAGTGCTAATGGAGGCTTTTCGTCAAAGTGTCAAAACTTTTTAGATTTCTAAAAATACAGGCAGGGAAACTATTGAGGGGTGGGAATCTTGTATCTGCTGGGCAAACCTTAACACCCTGTGTCTTCACTGTTCTGGTGTTTAAAAGACTGCTCATAACTAGAGCATAATAGTTAAATATGATGTACTCCAGTGTTTCTCCATCAAAAATCAGAGGGTCTCAACAGCAGCAAACTAGCTAATTGGCAGCAGTTTCAGATGAGCTTCAAATAAACGTTTGAAGATTTGACTGAATGTGACAAAATAAAATAAAATCAGCTATAAAACAGCTTGAATCGGTGTGTCCTCCTGGATGCCATTCAGGGCAGAAGAAAGAGTGAGCATCCCTAACAAGCAAACTGTAACTGATCATTATTATTCTAACCTGATCAAAGCCTGATGGATCTCAGCCAGCTTCTGTTTCCTCCCACAACCCGGCTCTGTAGAAGAGGGACAGATATGATAAGGAAGAGAGAAAAAGAAAGACGGGGAGGGAAAGAGAGGGAGGAGGGACAGAGAAATATTTGAGGAATGACAGACAAGACAGCAGTGATCAAGAGAAGGGTAAACAAAGAAAAAGATAGGGCAATAAGAGACACAGAAGAAAGGAAGAGAGGAAAGGATAAGAGTGGGGGAGACATAGAAAGATAGATCACGTTGGGCTTGCAATAATTATGCATGAAACACACAGACGAAAGCACAGTTTCTAGCGTATAACAATAATAATTCACATACATTTAAATCACTTTAAATGTTTTGCTTTGCTATACAATAACTGTAAAGTGTCACCGCTTTTATTTTACAAGGAAATCTGCAACACTGCCATTACAAGAACTCCATGACTGCTCATAATGAGTCACAAATATGACCAGAATTAAGGGCTGAGTCTGGTTCAAAATAACCTACTGAGAGTTTGACTTGAGTGGTTAAAGCAGTGTTGAGTGATGACACAAATGGGTTTTTTGTGACAGTGAATAAAATAACGTCCTTCTTCTTTTGTCTGGACACCAGCTGCAACTTTTCCAGATAGTTCAAGTTGGCAGACAGGCTGCCACGCAGGCAGCACTGTCAGATAATCACGTAAAGTTGACAAAAAAAAGTGTGGAAGACAACCAGTGGTTGAAAACAAGTTATGAAAACAGCAGAAAACTCGTGATTCGTGCCTCGTACTGCAGTTTTGTGTCAGCTGGCTGCAGTAATAGCATTAAGTTCACTGGCTTTTCTCCACACAGTGTACAGGTAGGTCCAGTGTCTGTCTGTACTGTGGGCTACGTGCACAGGTAGATCGATAAAAGTGAATATACAGGCTGGTTTTAATGGAAAGAACTAGCTGTGTGTGAGTAGTCTCTATCTGTGTCTAGTGTCCATTTATTAAACACCCTGACTACCTCGCTATGTAACCCGTTTATTGACTTACCTCTGGTGACAGACCCATTCCCATTCACTCCAACTCCTGCCTTTTGTTTCTCCCTCTTGAGTCTTTTCATCCCTTTTAAAAACTCACTGCCGAGTGATAAAGTTTGTGTTGTGCCATAGGCCAATTAAAAAAATAAAAACAATACGTCTCTAACCGGATAAAACACTGACAATATTTGGCTGTTCGTGGTCGTTTCTTTCAACAGCTGTCCCTGACAGGAAGTCGCCCCGCTGCTCTGCGATTGGGCAGAAATAACACGTGACAGAATGCACGAATCCCATTGGCTGCCCACCGGCTCACACCGCACACTAACTTGATTGTAGTTTTGTAGTCCTTATATTTTAGCGACAGTAGCGACTGTGTGTTTTAAAGGCACTCGCTTGAATAAATTGTGTTTTTTACACAATACTTATATTTATTCTTATAAACTTTTACCACTAGGCAGCAGTAAAGCACTATATAGCAACTGTTATGTAAATTATAATATTGTTATGTAAAGCCTACAATTAAAACATTAATGTTATGATAACAAGGGCAATAGTGTCTGTGGTCTTTTTTTTAGTGCATGTATTGTGTGCACTCCTTTTTTCTTTCTCTCTTCTGAGTGTGAAAAATGTATATTCACTATAATATGAAAAGAAAATAAGACTTAATAGAACTTGTATGTGGAAAAAAACTAAATAGAAATACAATATCTGTTGAAATGTAGAATAGTAATATGTATAGGCCTTTATATTTTCAACATTCATGTAAAATTCTTTAATATATTGGTTTATTTTTCATTAACTTTAATCTATTTGAACTTAAAAAAGTGCAATTGTGAGGTTTGTATAATAAATGAATGTTTAAATTAAAGATATGTAAATAAAGCTATCTTGTTTATAATGGTGAAATCTATGTCTGAATGCCTCTGATTTGCTTCTACACACTAGTTTAGTCCTGAATATCTGGTAAAACACAGCTGCTCTGAGTCTTTAGTTGCCTCTCAGGTTGCTCTTTGTTGTATACAAACAAATTGCACACAGTGGCAAATACAAATCCCAGCTATGGCCTTGAACCTAACAAACAAATTTAAAATTTAAATAAAGAAAGAAGTTCTTCTCCAGACTACAAGAAGACCAGTAATTGGTTGGGTGTGGTTCTAGGTAAGTATTTATTCAAATATATAAGTCTAATGTCTAGGTTTGACATGTTTCCCCTTCATGTTGTGCCCCTACTGCTCTTATAGCTCATATGTTCATACTATAAAAAACATTATAAGATGCTCTTTCATTCATTGGTGGAGGTTGTGTTGGGAGTAATACTGTCTGCCATATTAAAAAAAACACCACTAAATCCAAACTGTATACAAATTTAAAGTGTTCAGCTGGCAAATGGATAAATGAATGAATAAATAACACAATAAACAATACAAAAACACAAATAAACTATTGGTAAACACAGTCATAAGTCATCTTAGCCTGTCCAAAGTATTACAGGATTTATTTATTTATTATCTGTTAAGGCAAAAATGGACAGGAAACCGCTTTAAGTTTCAGCTTTTGAGGAACATCCTGTGCAGAAGTGTACGGGGGCCTTGGGCTCGATAGGGGGATGTTTGTTGAAACAGTCGGACCTGGCAACCCCACTGACAACTGCACCTTGAGCTGTAGTAGTGGTGATGAAACGTCTTATCATTGCCAGCGCTGACACGACTCGGGACGAGGGCAGCCCGCCGCTCTCCATTCAGCTCTCCATGAGAAGCCACAGATGGGAACAGAGAGACACACGGGTGACAGCAGTTTGACCAAATGTCAGGCAGGTAAAAAAAAACCACTAAACTGCGTGAGGGAAGCCGCCGAGATGAGCGACAGAGCCGAGATGAGAGGGCCCTTAACCCGCCGGAGGAGGACGACCATCTCCGGCGGTGGTGGTGGCGGTGGTGGCAGCGGAGCGGTCGGCGTCAAGCAAGCCAACGGGAACAAGTCGCACGACGCCGGGGAGAAACCGCCACAGTGTCCCGGTAAAGCCAAAGCAGACGAGGTGTCCAGGCATGCGAGTAGCAGCAACGGGAAGGCGGGCAGACAGACTGGGGAGTCGGGGCAGCTCGCAAACAGCCCGAGGAAACAGAAGAGTGCGGTGGAAGACATCAACGAGCGACTCAGGTAACCGTTGGTTTTTTAAAAAAAGATTTAAAAAGACGTTACAGACGTTCCACCGTACAACTGAAATGGAACACTAACGTTACATTCTACATTCTACATTCTATATTAAAGCTGCTCATTAACGGCCCGTGTTATTAACATGTGTCAGATAATTGCCTTTATTTATTACTGTTATCAGCCTGTGGACGTTTGTCAGAGGCTTTATTTTCTTACTGGTGCATTAGACTGACGACCCCTCCACTAAGTGACATATTTTATAGATATTTCATATTATATTCAGTGCAGAACAGCTTTACAAACTTTACAATAACTGCAGGAAGTCGTTTGGATGATTTGTGTGCAGATTATTTTCTGTGATTGGTGCATACAATTCTCTTCCTGCATTATGTTTTTTTTTTTTTTTT